GATGCCGGGCCTCCAAGGGAGGTGGGCTCGCTCACCCTGGAGGACCCGGGGGAATGCGTAATTGTTCCGCCGAACCCGGCTCATCACAAAGAGCAGTAGGCCGGGTTGACGAATCCACTGCTCTCGAAGCCCGCGAAGTCGGCATGCGCGGCCGTTCAGAGGACGTTAGGTGTGAATCGCTTCGACTGGGACTAACCACAGCGGGCACACACTCCGGGTCGCTGGACGCACTCAACACTCTGCCTCAGCGATGTGGAGATGAGATGAATTCGCATGGCGCGATAACCGGTTCCAGGCGAGAGGGATGGATAAAACAACATTCATCCACATCCCGGGATCGTCGCGTGCAAGGCTCAGCACCCGCATCCCCGACAACGCCCCCTTCCGGATGTGCCGGCGACACATGAGCCAACACCGTACCCTCCCGGATGACCGTGGTGTCCAACCCAGAATTAAGAACCTGAATAAAAGGTTTCTGGGTCGTCGGACACCAATGTCTGAGCTACAATTCCATACCCTGTAGCACCCAAATCGAGCGGCTTTCACAAGTGGAGGGGAACAAACACCTGCACCGTAGCATTGGCCGCACAAAACCGGTCAGAGCTGAGGCACCTCATGATCACGAGTAGGACTTCCCCTACCGACGCGTGATCGGGCCGCGAACCAAAATGCCTAGATGGGTGAGGTGAGGCCAGTGGTCGAATGTGGAGTGCGTCGCGACTCGCCTTAGGGTGTAGAGAAGTGTAAGTATGGCGGTGATGCCGGAAGGCGCCGTCGTGGGACGCGGCAGCCCAATGCCACGTGGCCCGGCAATCTGCACCGGTAACAGGTAACACGGGCGTCTCTGGAACGAGATGAGGACCTTGGCTGCTGCCGCTCGTCCGTCCGTCGCACGTCACCATCACCCCGGTCTCCATCACCCCGAGTCGACGCGTATGCCGCAAGGGGCTCCGCTCCATCTGGTGACCCCGGTTCCGTGCGGGACATGACACAAGTCACCAGCGCCCTGTCCCGATGTAGAAGTTGCTGGGCTCGAACGCACTTGGCGACTTTGTGGCGCGTGTCCAACGGAGGCTCGTAAATGGACACCAACCGGTCGAAGGCTTGTGTGAGCGTGGATCTCTCCAGCGGCGGGATGGCAAGAAACACTGCAAGGGTGTTATCGTCAAGGGCGACGGGTAGCACCCGCAGCGCCTCCATCTCCGACCGCCCTGCCAAGCTGGCGTTCGTCAGGAACTGCCGCTTGAAGGCCACCCAGTCGCCACTGGTAGCCGTGTAGTCTTTTAACAAAGGGAGTCCGACATTGGAGTGCCGGGCTGTCCCTCGGCGCCGACGGTGCGTCTACAATTTTGGCGGGCTGCGCGCTCCGCGCCGGCAATAAAATAGTGGCCGAATGCGTGGGCTGCCCCTACCGAGTTTCCTGCCCGTCGTGAAATGGCGGTAGAGTCGCCATCCACGAGTGGCATCGCCGCTCCCTCCTTTGCTAGCGAGACCGCGAGGCTAAACTCCACGAGGAGCGAAGTCGCCATGTGGAGGTGCTCCGCAAGGCGATCGTGCAGCTCCCGGAAGGTCGCCACCGCCGACGGCGAAGCGTCAAGCGCCCGGATGGCACCCTGCTCCGCTGGCGGCGTGTCCCCCACATCCGCTAGAGCTGTAGGCTCCACGAGGTCCTCGTCCTCGCCGTCCGACGCCCAGGTACGAAGTCTGCGATGCGTAAGCATAGTCTACAGCTAGCTGAATAACTAGCGTGTTGGCTACTTCCGACAACAGTAGTGAGTCCAACTCAGTCGCAGATGTTGTTCCTTTTAGAGTCAACACATTTATTTGTAACACGAAGGGGTAACTGCCCCTTCACCAGATACAGCCTCAGGTGGTGACCACCCAGCTAACTGCTCTATACAGAGGAGTTACAGCTACGAAGGGTCGGGCCCTCACTCGGGTCCGCGACCACGTGTTTGCCTCCTCGGATGTAGTGCTTCCGGCCTGAAATGTAGAGCTTCAGCTGATGGACGTGGAGCTTCAGCTTGGAGGATGCAGCGACCCCGGTCCCTCTCAGGGACCCACCTTATATCCCCCCACGGGTCGGGGCCGCTCCGCCCCTGGCCCCACCTGCCTTCTGGAGCCTCCTAGCTCCCCCTTGATCCCTCTCGAGAGTTCTCCCTGGACACGTGATCACCCCCTAATCCCCCCACCTGGGGGCCTCTCTGTGGACACTCTAGATCACGTGTCTGCTGCAGGGTCAACCAGAGTGCCATGGCATGGGGCAACCCTGCCCCTGGGCCGACACTCTCCCACTCCCCCTCATGAGAGACCGCACCGCACACGCCACGCTCACCAAGCCCCGCTAGGGCTGGGACTAAACCCACCACGGGGTGTACGCGATGACGGAACATCGTGCGCCATGGCCCTTCCAGGCCGGCGCCATGCAGTGACATCCCCGATGTCAATACAGTAACAATACAGTAAATACACAGTGGCAATTATTCACCTCGGCAAGGGTGGCGGGTTTCTTCTCAGGAGCCTCCTGCATGGGTATGTATTGCCAGTCCTATTATTAGTGAGGGATTGAGCATCAGAATCCAAGTCTATATTCATCCTGAAGAAATCCGATGAGCTTTGAAGATTTTTTTCACAGAAATCCAGATTGGATCCACGTGGGAAGAAACGGTATGGCCTGTAGAAGACCTACGCATGAAGGTGGTGTTGCGCTCAAAGCTCCGCACAGATAGAGTCAATAATAAATCGCTGTACTACCACCGCCTGAACACTTTGCAGCCCAAGCCTGCAATCCCTTGCATTCCCAAGCAGTATCCTGTACATGCATTAATCAGACTCAGCTCTGCTTCGCTTCTGAGAGATGTGAAGGTCGGTGTGTGTATTTAGTGATATTCGGCCATAGGCAAATAAAAAGCAAGTGGCGCTTCATAAATCATGAACATAGCGGCGAATGAAGATCACGATAATTGCAACAAACCACCCTGGATAGCAATGCTTAGTGTGCCAGTGGTTAATAAATACACAATAAATAAATACACAATAAATACACTGCTAATACACACGCTCTGTGTATTAGCAGGAGCGACGCCTGTTCTTACAACTTAATTAGCAAACAATACCCCACTTAATAACATTACTATTGCGCTCAGAAATCGTAATTAGTTTGAGGACATTTAAAATAAATATACATGGTGGCCCAAAGGTCAGGTTACGTTGGGTTATTTCATTCATTTTAACACTGGACTTAACAAATTTGTATTGTTTATTAAGTTAACGTTGTGTCTATTATAATTATTAATCTCGAGTTTTATTCCTGTGGAGGTCACCTCACATCCGTCGTTTACAAAAACTCGACCAAGAATCCCGAGTGAATTTAAACAAATGTTCAAGGATTGCAGCTGTAAACTTAAAAAAAAAGTCTTAGTCATTTCAAAAGGATAAGTCATGCATGCATTAATGTTAATGGAAGCCAGTTTTAACATTTGTTAAAATAAATGAATGATGTGTCCTAACTTTTGGGCCACCCAGTATGCGTAATGTTTTTTTTTTCTCCCCAGAAAATAAAGAGTTGAAATTTAGAGGCAGCTGGTCTTGTGAAGATTATACTCGTCCTCATTACGGAGACCAGATTATGCTCTTGAAATTTCACGGTCAGTCCAGCCCCGCGACCCCTCAGACCTCACCGTGCCACTCAGAGGCCACTTCTGTGTTTGCGCTTCCTCCTGTGAATGCAAACTCCCCCACACTCAGTTTTCGCGACCAATATCATCCATAATATAGGTTTTTTTGGCGTTAGATCGCGTAAATATATAAATGTGTCGTTAAAACCCGCCACCACCCGACACAGCCAACTAGTGAGGGTTGTCACGTTAACAGGACCTGCCAATTCGTCACTATTACAGCACACCGGTGTGTTGGAGAGCCAAGCCACAACATTTACAATCTGAGTACGACGTTTCGCCAGTAATTACAACTATATAAGGAACAAAACAGGTGGATTTCTCCACAAATCTGGCTGTTGCCTGATGAAGCTAGTTGTAATTACTGGTGAAATGTCGTACTCATTGTAAATGTTGTGGCTTGGCTCTCCAACACACCGGTGTGCTGTACTAGTGACGAATTGGCCACGCTCTGTTTACGTGACAACCCTTACTAGTTGGCTGTGTCGGGTGGTGGCGGGTTTTAACGACACATTTATACATCCCCCACACTCGTCCACACGGTCCGGTGACTGCGTACGATGACATCGTATCCCAAGGTGAAACGATCTGTTTTGGAACAGAGAGTCGCCACGACTCGCGCGTCTCAGTCATAATACTCCGTCGCGTGCGGCTGCGTCGACAGGTGGATGGACACGTGGGTAGGCAGATGAGTTCTCGTTGTAGGTACGCAGCGTGAGGCTCTGCGCCGTCCTGATGGGTGGCAGAGCCATTAGAGCAACCTGACTCGAGTTCAAATCCCCGCCGGGAGTCGACCAAGCTACGGCATCCCTCGGGGTTCACAAACACTCCTTCGTAGGCAGCGGTTGTTTTTTTTGCCACGGATAGGCTGGTCCCAGTCCATAGGAATGTGGACTTCCCCCCCCTCCCCCCCCCCCCCACTGCATCAGGGCCATTGAGAGAGGAGTCCTTTCACGCACACTCATTTGTGCGTGACATTTTACTTGCCTTGCCATGATTTTCCTTTTAATTTAGATTTAAATGCTAAAGCGGCTTAGTATGGGAAAACAGAAATGAGCAAACAGACCCCCCCCCTCCCCCCGTTGACTATTAATAAGGAGACTTATTACACCAATGCATTGCTGTACGATGCATGTAATATTCATCTCACTCAATTAATTGAATGCATGGTATGTTTTTTATGTCCCGTAATAATATGACAAGTCCTTCAAACGCATTGGACATTAAGATGCAGTTGGTGGCGGTCTTCCTAATTTAACCCCAACACCGGTCTCTTTTCCCATGGATTGTTTTTTTCCCCCCCTTCGAAATTTTCCTTGGCAGCCTCTCCCTGGGGTCCAGCGACGCCGCCACGCAGGGCTCCTCGGGGGAGCCGGACCTCCGCTCCGACGGAGAGAGTGGGGCCTGGGGTCGCGGGGTTGGACGACCCCACACGGACGCGGCACAAGCGGCGAGCGGTCAGCGGCGTGGACCACAGGCAAGTCCCGCTGCACACTGTCAGCTGCATCGGAACAACAGCAGGCCGGTTTGCGCATGTCTTCACGAGTGGAAAATAGACGGCACGCCCTCGTGAGACTGTGACCATGCAGCCCAAAGCTTCGGCCGTATGGTAGACAAACTGTGGCCTGTTCTCCTTCAACAGAGCAGGAGACAAACTACACATTCTCTCCTGAAGCCCTTTCGTCGTGGCTGGCAAACCTCAACACTGACATTTCCTGAATATGTTGCCATCTTGAGGATAAAATAGAATCGCCTTTTTACCACCGGTCCCGCCGGTCAGCCGTCATCTCTTCTGGCAATGCAACCTCGTGCAACATCGATGCGTGTTTGAACTCTGACTGACGCGTTTCTCATTTTGATTCTCAGTGTCATTCTCAGCATGGATCTCTCTGCGAGTCTTTGCACTTGAGTCTCTGCTCCACTGTTGTTTCCAGTGTCCGTGCTTCCGATCCAGGTGTCATAGCAGGCAGCAATCGTTCACTGGAAACGTTTCTCTGCAACAAACACATGAGATACAGCAATCATTTATAATCCACTAACTCAGGACCAATTCAAGATATTGATAGCCACCGATGATCGCCATTGTCAGGAACTGAACTCAGGTGGCCAGGTTTATTGCACGGGTGTGCTAATTGCTGTGTCATTACTCCCCAGTAAAAACACGTGATTACAGATGACGTGCACATGGCACGCGGCATTAAAACGACCACTCTAAGGCGGTTCACAATACACTACATACAATCTTTAACCCTTCACCCTTTGATAAACTGCTGATCATTCAAACCAGCTAGTCATATTCAGATCTCAGTCATAAATAAACTCAGTCTATAATCCATCTGATGGTTTTCAATTCAAGTGCCACTTTGTGTTAATTAACACAGGGGTTGTCCTATGGAATAACGGTGCCTTGCCGTATGAATGTGGAATTCGACCCTACCAGCTTCGGAGATGATTACTTGCACCCATGGCTGTATGAGAATTGTAACAAACTTGGACGCTGTGTGTGCGTGGCGCTTTGGGTTGACCGGTCTGAAACCCCCAGCTCACGCACCCGAGAACCCGTTTTAATGATCAAATCGCCGCTGCCCACATTCAAACCCGGCATCTCAGTGACGCTGGCTCAGTGCTGTGGCACAGACAGCCCCCTGGGTTCTCCCAGCCTCTTTCTATCATCTGCTTTCTTTGCGAAGCCTCATATTTTTTTTGTGTTCATGCGGCCCATTCCTGTGGGACTCCTCCTCGAAATGCCAGTGTGCCGCTTGTAAAAAGGCTGCAAAATCATGCGAAGAATAACGTTAGGGATAGCCGCACAGCACGGGTTGAGGCAGCTAAAAGGCGCCTTTCCATCTGTATGGTCCACGCCTCTAAACCCACTGAGGTTTAATGAAGCTTTATATCAGCCAGCCGCACCATCAAGCAGAGATTTTTTGTCTTAAATGGGTTCTGCGCTGACCCGTTTCACAAAGTATAATTTGATCCCTTTTAAAATGTTATATTGATTTTTTTCTCGGGCAAGCGGGAAAAAAATAGGAAAAAAGATGAATTCAGAAATGCTTCTCTCTAAAATATGTGGCATTTGTAGGGTTATGAAATCCATCCAATTCCTCTCCTTTCATTTGTGATGGTTGCCTGGAGTGGATAATGAGTAAGAAATATGCATGTAGATTACACTCCCGCTAAGAACACTTACGGCCCATTCCACATTCTGCACACGAGAAAAATAAAATTAAATGGGAGCAACCATGAGGTATAATTCTACCCAAATTGTACATAGCCTCTATAACACGACAACTTCAATTTAGTTTAATCGTATCAAATGGGCTTTGCTGGACCAACTCCTCTCGCTGAACATTATGACCCCGTTCGCGAGCGTAAAACCATACTCCCGAGGTGCGACCGCGTTTAGGAACCTTGGCGAATGCACAATTGGGTTGTACCACGAGCTCCACGAGCCCACGAATAAGGGCGCCACTCACTTGAAAACGCCACCGTTGTCTTTCCCAGCAGCTTGACGGAGGCACGTGGCAGATGCAGGCCCACCACCCTGGCCTGCCGGCGCTGGATAAGCGGTCTCTCTTGGGAGCTTGGGGCGGCGACGGCGGCGGTGGCGACGGCGGCATGGTTATCGCTCGCGGACACTCGCTCCCGTCCCCGGAGAGCCCGCGTCTCGACAGCTGCGCCGGCCGCTCCCAGGGACGCGCGGGACTCCCGCTGGCTGCGCCGAGCGATGGTGCTCGCCCCTGGCAAGGTGATGAGCGAGCGGCTGCAGAGCCGCGGCGAGGCGAGGCGGCGCCGAGAATTTCCGGCGCTCCCCCGATGCTTTCCGCGGCGCGTAGCGAGATTCCTTCGTCGGAGGATTGGTGCCGTGGTGGAATTGGTTAGCGGGGTGGACTTACCGATTCGATCTCGTGGCGTGGCAGTTGAAACATCGGGGGTGTGTTTCTTAAATCCCTTTGTGCACGCTGCAGTGGAAATGGGTACGCACGACAGTTCGTCGATTGTGCTGGGGTGATGTGAGCGTGGAAGAGTAGGCGAAAATAACCTCGAGGACCTTCCATCATCAGCAGCAAGGAAGTGCAGGCCTCCTGTTTTTAATGATTATTTTTACCCTTAATTGGTTGACTGCATGCTAATTAATAGCCTGTCATTATAATACCATTATGATGAGGCAGGTGGTACTGTGGTTAGAGATGCTGAACTTCCACACGGAAGTTCACAGATTTAAATCCCAGTCAAACGGTTCCTTCTGCCAAATATTACTTTGAGATTAGCACATCGAGTACCACTTTGCAGGAAATCAGAAATTTTCCAGAGTAAAGCCAATTGAGATTTGCAGCTCTTTTTCAGGGCGACTTGGCCAGCAGTCAACAAACTAAATTAAAACTAAAGCACTTTTGATTTTACCAGGTATGACCCACTGAGCTATGTAGCTCTTTTTCAGAAGCAACCTGGCCACAAATGACAGCTCAACAAAGTGGCTTATCACGTGGAAATTTATCGCAGCTAAATACTAAAGAGGACCCGGAGAAAAATCTACACGACCACGGGGAGTGAGACATGCAAACTCCAAATATACAGCAGGCATCAGGGTCGGGATGGAACCCACGACCTCCTGGATATCAGGCGAGGTAGTTAACATCTCACTACCGCGGCGCCCACCAGCGGGCACAAACGAGCGTGGTGTCATGCTGTGGGCAGCCCATATGCATTCAATAATCCCCCCCCCCGCACTTCGCACAAGAAGGGTTCACAAAGTCATCACATCTATCCCTCTCAGGAACGAAACAGGAGGATGTCTCCACAAATCTGGCTGCCGCCTGATGATGCTGGTTGTAATTACTGGGGAAACGTCGTACTCAAGATTGTAAATGTTGTGGATTTGCTCTTTCCAACGCACCGGTGTGCTGCACTGATAAAGAATTGTCACGTTCTGTTTACGTGACAAACCTTACTAATTGGCTGCGTCGGGCGGTGGCGCGTTTAACGACACATTTATATTTACGCGATTTGACCCAACAAAAAAACACCTGTATTATGGGCAAGAAAAGGAAATTCCACATTGCTATGGCGGGATCTATTCCTGCAATGGACAGCCACTGTTGGACACCGCGGTGGACGTCCATGGCAAGAATCTATCCCACCATAGGAATGTGGAATTTCCTTTCCTGTATATGGGTTCCCAACGGGGGACACCATGACACTATGCCCATTTGGGCCCTGGGAGGATCGTGTATATATAAAATATATACTCACATTAATTACTTTCACTTTCAGAATAGTGACCTATAGCATTAATCGTAATGTACCTTTTTTTCGTGAAAAATGAGCCAACTGTTAGGTGGTTGAGAATGAAAAATGTCTCATTCTAAAAAAGATTGCTAAAACATTATGACCTGTCCTACACAATGCATGTGTGGTTGTGCGCGTGCATTGTATATGTGGGGAGCTGTAGTGTCGCGGTTAGCGGACTCCGCTATGAACCCGGCGATCCAAGTTCGATTGCCGATTACCAAAACCAGTGAAGAATATCTGAACCGGTCTTGGGCCTCCCTGAGGTCAACTCACCCTCAATGAGTACCTGGTGTGGTGTGTAATCATTAGCACTGGGATGAGAAAGGTGGTCGTGCGTGATGCTGGCCACCCACCCCCTTGTGTGCTGTGTTGGCTTTCATAGGTGCTCGTTGATAGCATTTGCTCCAAGCGTCTGTTAAGGCTACAGATTGAATCTTTGGTAGTGTAGCAGTTAGCGCACTGCGCGACGAACCCAAGTTGAATCCCCGCTCGCGGCCGTCATCGGTGACGAATATCTGAATTGGTACCTTAGGTCGACTCAGCCTTAAATGAGTCCCGAGTACAGTCTGTAAACATCAGCAGTGGAAACACAAATGTGGATGTACATGTGTAGTGTGGGTCTTAATAGGTGCTCACGAACAGCACTTACCCCAACAGGCTGCTAAAGGCTACTGTGGGGGATCTTTGTCTTTAACTCCGTGTTGTATATGCGGAGATTGGTGGCACAGTGGTTCACAACTTTGGTCCTGACAACTTCGGATTGATTCCCAGTCATGAATAAAACCATTGGCACATTTTGATTTAACGCTTTCGTGGCTGCAGTGATTCATATTCTTGGTTCTTTCGGTAAAGTCACGTTGAAGGGAAACAATAAAATATATATATAAAAAACAATAAAATTCTCACGACGTTTCGACTGCAACACATCATCAGGTGTGAAAACCAACGGCCGTTGTGTTGCAGTCGAAACGTCGTGATAATTTTATTGTTTTTTATATATATTTTATTATTTTATTGTTTCCCTTCAACGTGGTCCTCAACACAAGGGTGTAATGTGACCGCGTAACATGGATCGACAGAGTGCAGTTGCAGAGAAGTGAAGGAGACAGATGTCTGGTGGGACAAGAGGATATTTGGGACCTGGAAGGAGGTGGCCGAAGGAAGGAAATTGTGTGATTGCCAAGTGACTGGTGCAATGGTGGTGAGAGTGATGGACTCGCTGTTGAGGTGGTGAGGGGGGCCGTGTGGCCATGGGAGCGATTGTGAGAGACGAAATTAGCTGAGAGAGATCCACGGACACGGATAGTGACCGCAAGGTGGTTGAGGTTAATCGGTAATTTCACGAAAAAAGACCGGTAAGAAATAGGTTCGCGGTTTGCCGCAAGTGGAGCAACATCTGGAAATAAACATCAAATGTTTACCTCTCTGATTGAGAAATGGAGGTAGCTACCGCAGTGGTGTAGTGGTAAGAACATTGGAATTGCAATCCAGAGGTCCCTGGCTCAAATCGATCTCCCAGCGCAGCAGTGAAAAACGATGGGGCCAAGTTTCTTAAATTCCGCTTGTCTCTCTGCGCCCAGAAGTATAAATGGGTAACACTGCAGTTAGGTTGATCACACTACGTAACACAATTTTTGTTCCTGGTTAGTAAGTGTTATTTCGTAATTGCGTATGCCTAAAAAGTATAGAAAATGGATATTATTCCCCACAAACTTTGCTTTTGTGACCAGGACAGTAATATTTTGAAATTGACCTATTTTCAATGAGAAAACGGGCGAATTTGTGTCTTTTTGTTCATATAAAGTCAGAAAAAAACAACATATGAATCAAAATTACCATGTATTTATACTAAAGTAATACAAAAATAACTACACAAGATTTAGAAGTGAGTACTATTTCGAAATTTACGATTATACTGTAAATCACTTTCACGAATCAGCCCCCAAATATAGTCTCCCATCATGTTCTCGTTATACTGTCCTTGGTAGCCGCGTTCAAAGTCCAGTATGTCCTGGTGGAAGCGCTCACCTTAATCTTCCGAGTACGCTCCCATGTTATCCTTGAATTTATCAAGATGAGCATCAGGGATATGGACTTTGAGGGACATCCTACAGCCCATTGTGCCGTAGTTCTTCAACAGTCTCAACCATCTCCACATAGTTTTCGACCTTGTGATTGCCCAGGAAGCCACGAACCACTGCGAAAAAGCTGTTCCAAGCCGCTTTCTCCTTACAAGTGAGCTTCTTGGGGAATTCATTGCACTGCAGGATCTTCTTTGTCTGTGGTCTGACGAAGAGACCGGCTTTGACCTTTGCCTCAGACAGCTTAGGTAAGAAGTCATGAAGGTACTTGAAGGCTGCCAACTCCTTATCTACAGCTCTGACAAATTGTTTCATAAGGCCCAATTTGATGTGCAGTGGTGGCATCAGCACCTTCCGGGGGTCCTTCAGTGGCTCCCAATTGACGTTGTTCATCCCCACAGAGAACTCGGTCCGCTGTGGCCAGTCCCACCTGTGGTAGTGCGCCTTGGTATCCCTGCTGTCCCAAAGGCTAAGATAGCAGGGAAACTTGGTAAAACCGCCTTGAAGACCCATCAGGAATGCCACCATTATGAAGTCTCCGATGACCTCCCAGCCGTACTCATCATACTTCAAGGCGTACAGCAAGGTCTTGATGCTGTTGTAATCATCATTGAGGTGCACCAAGTGAGCCAGGGGAAGAGACGGGTGCTTGTTACCATTATGGAGCAGCACAGCTTTGAGGCTCCTGGATGAGCTGTCAATGAAGAGGCACCACTCATTCTGATTACAGGCAATTCAGATTGCCTCGAACAGACTGGTCACATTGTGCCAGAAGCAGAGCCCATCTTTACGGGTGAAGAAGCTGCAAAAAGGTTGGTGACGCTTCCTCTGATCTGCGACTTGCACACTTTCATCCAACAAGTTCCACTGCTTGAGCCTAGATGTCAAAAGCTCGGCATTGCACTTGGTGAGACCAAGATCTCTGATCAAGTCGTTGAGGTCTTTTTGGTTGGGGTAGTATGGGTTTCTCTCCTCAGCTCCACCTCTGAAATTGTCATCTGGATCTACAACGTCTTCCTCGCTCTCTGATTTGCTGCTCTCTTCTAAAGATGGCTGCTCTCTCTCTGGAAGAGTGGGTACAGGGAGCTCATGGCAGTGTGGCACTGGGGCGATGGATGAAGGAAGGTCCGGATACGTAATAGCAGGTGCATTCTTGCCAGTCCGACGTTTGGAAGGGTCCACCATGCAGAAGTAGCAGTGGTTTGAGTGGTCAGTGGGTTCCTGCCAAATTCTTGGGATAGTGAACTTCATGGCTATCTTTTTTCCCTATGTATCATCCTACAAAAATACATTTATTTCATCCATGACTAATGTGTAAGAGATTCTCGCAACATTTTTTCACGTATGATATATTTTTTTCAATAACATTGACAAT